ATTTAAATTCCGTCTACTTAAACATCGTATCACCTAGCAATTGCCCTCCACATACGATTCGTTTGGTGATAGAGAATGAACTGCTCGATTCGGAATTACCTACAGGGGCTGCAGTTAGTATTAGAAACAGTGATCCAATCAAGAGCCTGTCGCCCATACAACCTTGTGACTCAAAATTGCAACTCCACACTAGAGATGCGATTAGGGTCTTGAGAAAGTGCATGGTTGAAGTCTGGCACAGCAAGCAAGAATTAACTCCATCTGTGATCATGGTATCTGGGAAAAGGCCAGATCTTGCGGGCAGAAATTGGATATCCTACTTCTTAGGAACGGTGCAGATTAGTGATGTCGTGACAGTGACGGCAGTCTGAACGATTTGTTGAACCAGTTTTCTTCTTTATTTGAAGATAAGTCGGAGAAGCTGAAACTTTTCAAAGCTTACATCAATCTAAAGGAGAATACCAATGCCAAGTCTTACAAAGCACGAGCGTTAGCGTGTGCTATGCGTCCCAAAGTTGAAGTAGTACTACGACGGCTACAATCCGAAGGCGTAATCATGTCCCTACAACACGCGTATGGGGGGCCCTAATTGTTCCTATACTCAAACCCAAAATAGACTAAAAGTTAACTGTCAAATAAGCTTCCAATATGGAACAGTATCCTATGCCACGCATCCATGATTTGTACGCTACGTTATCCCGTGGTCAAAAATTTTCTAAGCTTGACTTTAGTCAAGCATTTTCTCAAATGAACTTGATGAGGACTCACGTGAATTAATCACCATGACTACACATCTTGGACTATTTCAGTATACTCGTCTCCGGTTCGGAATAAATTCCGCTCCAGTATTTTCCAGCGGAATGTGGAAGACACTGTGAAGCATATACCATTTACTTGTGCTTATTTGGTTTCTGGTCGCGGTGATGTTGAATATTAAAGACCCTTTGAACAGGACTTTAACGTTTGGAAGAGAATGGCTTGAAACTATGGATAGTTAAATGTGAGTTTCGTCTGAATCTCTTTGTTATCTTGGTTACAAACTTGATGAAAGTGGGCAAGTCAATCCAAGTCACATAAAAAACAATTTATTCACAATGCATGTCTTGCAGCATAAAATGTCCCCGATTATACAGGCATCACAGCCTAAGAATAGTGACTAAATCCGATTATTCTTACGAATGGTATCAGGCTATTGTCGCTTTTTACCAGGGGCATCAACTATTTTAAATCCTTCGAAAGCACTGCTACATGAAAAACACCCCATGGTTGGGGGAATTATGAACATCAGTCCGCTTTCATTGGGGTTAAAAGCTGTCTAGCGCCAGCGCGGTTTAGTTAACTACGATAGACAAAAATCTTTGTTCAGCTTCCTGACCTCTCCCTGCTCAGGTGATACAGGTTGAAACATGGACGGTTTATTTTAGCAGTTCCATCAGAGGTTGAAGTCCGAAACGCGATCACAGCCTTTAATCATTTTCGTGCCGCTGGCCCTGATTCCCTCCAACCTGACTATTTATGATGGAGGTGTGGTCCTCTGCAGAGCATTGACCACCCTGGTCGAACACGTCTGGAAAGAAGAGACTGTCCAGGCTAACTGGAGTGAATGGAGTATAATTGTGGTTTACAAACAGGTCAGTGGCACCGAATGTGTTAACCGTAGGGGTAGTAGCATAACACCGGTGGTGACCAGTTACTGGTTGCAATTCTCGTTCATCGCCTCACTGTAGAACGGGAATCCCGGACTAGGGAGGAGCAGGCAGGTTTCCACGCAGGACGTGGCTGTATAGACTAGTTATTCACTCTGTAGCAGGTGATAGAGCAGCGCCTCATTTACCGCAGACCGACAATAGCTGTGTACCTCGACTTCAAGAGCGCTTTCGACTCAGTCGATTGACGCATTCTGTTCGAAATACTTGTGCGGAAAGGTGTTCCCGTGAAATATGTGAACGCTTTACGTGCTCTGTACCCAAACGCTATAGGCCGCGTCAGGGTCTACTGTGGTTTGTGGGATATCATTCCGACAACAAGTGGCGTTCTTCAGGGTTGTCCAATTTCCACATTTTGTTCAACTTCTTCGTGGATCCCATCATCTTCGTCAATACACGTTAGCAGAGCGTGAGGAACACACCTCAGCTAATGTGCAGCAAAACAAAAATGGCAACACGTTGAGCAAGGCAGACTTAAAAGATATAAAAAGGTATAACGCTAAATATCACATTTGGGATCGTCGTTAGACTGTGTGGTCGCCTGATGACTCCTTTCGCTTCCAACTCTACTACCTGTTTTGTATCCCAGTCAGCGTATTCTGCGCTATGCTTCTGAACATTGGCTTGCCCTGACTTCCAGGGATTCGTGGTATCTGATGTTCCACCTAGTTACAGAATCCATAATCATCATCTGTGTCCTTGTATAGGTGAGCATACTTGCCCAGCGAACTCCGTATTTCAGGGTGCTGGCAATCAGGCAGGATCTTGAGCACACCTACTGGATCGGCTCTCTCTGTGTTCATATCAATCGTCTCGTCGCCTACGATTGCCAAATCGTTTCCCAGATCAATTGTGGCACCGAGCCGTTTGATGATGTCGTTGCCGATGATTGTTTCCATGGTCTCCTCCACGATGAAGATAGCATGACTGATGAGCATTTCTCCTATCCTAATTCGCAACCGCTGCGTGCCCGTCACCGTCAAAGGATATCCACCGCCGGTCTGCATCACGATCGAGGACTGTGTTACTGGAACTCTTTCGATCCTCTTCGTAATGGATATTACCGATCCCGTGTCCACTATGGCCCGGGCCGACACACCTACAATAGTTACCATGAGGACCGATACGCGCCACCTACTCGGTCAGAATAGAGAGAAACAATGGTACAAATTGCAGTTGGTGCAGGATCTAGCTACATGACCCAGCTGATTGCATTGGAAACAGCGGCGACCGTTCCGGCTACTAAGTTTATTGCGTTGTGAAATCGCTCTCGGAGTTTCCCTCGACAACAGCTTCTCCACTATTCCGGATACTTGGTTTACTCTGTGTTCCAACTCGGAATGCTGGACTTTCCTCACTGTCACTCGCTCCGACAAATGTTGGGCAACCGTCACCAGACCCTCCGCCCTGCTCTCTCCAACCATTGTTGCCAATTAACGTTTTCATGGAGTGAGTTCGGAAGGCTTCGAACAAATTACCGTTTGAGTAGTCGTTCTCTTGTGTTACCCATCAACTCGGGGAGCCCAATCGCCAAAAGTTTGTCCAGCTGCTGGAAGAACACCATCAAATCCTCCTATTCGTCCCATTTGGCTGAGCGAAATTGCTCCAATGCTCGCTGTCTATCGTCTTCCTTCCCAAATTCTGCACACCATGCCGCCCTCACCTCAGCGAACTAACAGCCGGAATTGGCCTTCCGAGTGAGCAAATATACCGCCTTCGCTCTTCCATCCAACAGCGTGACCAAGGCTGTTAGCAAATTGCGTTACCTTTGACCCCACTGCATGCAGCGATGGCCACAAATTCATCGAGCCAGGACTCACATCTCCGTGTGCGAATTGCGCTAATCAGGTCAGCTTCATCCTGATTGGTCACAGCACCAATGTAGCGAGAACGACGCAGAGGGGGGGGGGGCATAGCGCGTATTGCCACAAGAACGTGCCACTGACAACTCACAAACTTGTACAGATTTGGACCGCGTTTCCTTCCCACGAAGCAACGCGGAGGAGGACTTGTGTGACGGGCCATTCCAGGTGCCTACGAGGTTGAGCTTCGAGACAACTTCTCCATCTTTCTCTCCCGTATCGCCGCTTCGATACATCCGATTCTGGCTGGCCATGAGTCGTTCACATGCTCGTGGTTTGCTCACCCGTGGCTGCAGCACTCGACTCGCGTTCACTCCTGTGGGCTTCGCTAACGGCGTATTTGTCTGATTCATTGCGTTCTCAACAAATGCCTCCTCCATGGTTCTGGGCCCAGGCTCGTTACCAGATGCCGCCCGTGATCCGCTGTCTGCTCAATCCGCAACGCTCGCAGAGACTCGTCTCGTCTCATCCATCGCACCAGTTGTTAATTCGCTACCATCCCGTTTTGTTGTCATTCCGATGCACGAGTAGTCACTGGCTTCCGCCGCCCTACAATGTGGCTGTCCTAAGGAGGCAGAAGTGATAGGCAAATCCGGAACCGGATGACGTCAACCAGAGTGAATGAACCCCGGAAATTAATCCTTTGGCCGTCCATTTGTATTGACACACAAGGATTGTGGTAGTGGCAAAGCAGCAAAAAATTATGTTATCAGTTATATGGGTTTGCTTACTCATTCCAAACACTACGCTTTACTACCGGTTACTTATTCATCCGGATTTCTCATGCATCGGTAGCCGAACTTGGACTGGAACTCAGGATGCATGAAGCACCGATGAACAAGTTTGACCATGAAATACCAGAAAACTTGGGTAACACCAATCAGGAAATCAGTGTTGTTATATTTTGTGTGCGTGTGTATGATTGGTGACAAGTAATCGCTACCAGAAGAATCCTAGCTTGGAAGAACCCATTTGTGGAGTGAAACGTTTGGAACGAGTAACCGCCAACACTTCTATCATTCAGACAGCTGCGTTGCCGAAGGTTCTTTCAAAGGTAAACTGCGGACCAGGGTTAAATTTTCTGTCGTAATCCACTCACGTGATCGGTGTTGCGAAGTAAGCAACAGCAAATTGTGAGATCCATTTGTCTGAAATTGTCAACCTAAGCAATTTTCAGGTCTTGCTTGTTTTCATCAGTACATTATCGATTTTTGGATGAAATGTCCGCTTAAACACGTATAAGGATTTTTCAGTTACGCAGTTACGGTGGCGAACTGTTTATCATTCTGTACTCTTGATTAGTCTTAGTCAGTAGCTTCTAACCCTAAAAATAATCGGGAGAAAGATTCCGGCGCAATATTAATCCTAGGCGCCCTAGCCTTAGCGCGCATTCTGTCTGCGCTATCCTGATACGACGTTCACAAACGTAGCCCGCATGTAGAGTACATATAATTGGGTGTGTATTTCATATTCTACTGAATGATGAAGGCTAGACACGATGATTCAAACGCGCTTACTATCATGCACCATCACGTGGATTCAACTTGGAAGTGTTATGAAATATACTGGTTTTTATTAAGGTTGTACTTGATTGGATTACGGATGAACCCAATTGAATCATGAATGCATTTGACTGCGAAATGAAACAACTGCGCTGGATGCAGCAGTTATCCAAGAAGGATATGCAGAGGAGCCTGAATACAGACGTTGGTTAAAGACCCTGGTTCAACGCACAGCATATGCACTTCGTTGTCCAACCACATGTACAGTCCAGTCATTATTCGGGCTGGTCCTACTTTTAGAAAAAAATATGACAGACAACTTGCGGTGTACGGGGAGCTGGACTTTCTACTTGCTGGTAACATATGCTGCCCGTGGTGAAAAGTAGTATTACTTGTACTAGCTCTTGTCTTGAAAATATATCCCTATAAAAAACACAAAAACAATCATGTATGTTTTGCTAGTGCTCCACTGAAGACGATACAAGAAAGACCAAAGCGATGTTTAGGACTAAGAAGAGACGGTAAGTGGAAACCTTATGCTGAACTTTAACGTGTTAAGCAAACAGAGTTAAGGCACCTCCGGCCTATGAAAACCGTGCTGTCTGTGAAGGTCAGCCTATCTCGTGTGATTCTGAGTATTCCAATCAGGTTCTCCGCAAAAGGAGCCCACATATGCGACAAATCGCTTGGTATCCTTAAGATAACTCGTTTCCACCATAATAAACGACGGCACCACCACCAACAACAACAACAACAAAGTCGGAAGTGGAATACAGTATTATTGCAAACAATTAAAAACAATAAAGTTACAGTACCTCAATAAGCTGAGATTCCGGCACAGGCATATTAAAAACAGAAAACAATCCAGAATGGCCAACAGGTATGGCTTCAAAACACATATGGAAATGCGCTCTTCTCGATGCACTCTGGCTTATAACTAGCTTACACAGGCCCACTAGGTAAAGGACGTTACCTTGAGTCGTTAGAGTGAGAATCCGTACATTACACACAGTGATGACACTGTGTTTCAATTATACATTGGGGAGGAACAAACAGTAGGCCGCACGAACCAAATGATTTCAACGTGTGACCTCCATTCACGCATATCAACAGTGCAATATTGGCAGGCCACTCATGCAATGCGAGCACAAAGGTTAACTAATAAAGTATTCTAGTGCACCGATACATCGTGGGTTACTATGTGGACCGATATTGAAGATTGTTCTGAAATTGGAAGACAGGTCAATGTGCGATTGAATGTAGGTCAGCCGCATTCTCCAAGTGCATAATAAACAAGCAACAAAGCTGACATCAGAACACCTAATTCACTTTAAGCCAGAGAAAAACAGAGCTTAGTTTGGGACAAGAAGAAGAGTTAGGGTACATGGTAGAAGGAATCACAGCTAGGCGAACTTTGAGCGGGACGAGCGTAACACGAATAGGGCATTCGGTATCCTTTTACACCCAATCCAACCGAAAATCAAAAGACTGAGACCTTGATGAAAAGAATGTATGTTCCTCAGTGTACTGCCAAAACACAGTCCATTCAGCTCGAATCCTAAACATGTTTTATTGGCATAAAAGCTGGGCGTTGTGGTCAACACAGCATTTGCCAAATGTGTGTTTCCTTCACATGCAACTTAGCAAAGGAAAGCTGCTCAATCGATAGTACCCAAAGTGGGAGCTGATTCCGCCGGAAAGGTATCGCGCCGCCTTAATGCTGTCGACAACGGCTGGACGCTTTGTGGAGGTATCAACGAGACAGTCTTTTGCAACTTTAACTGCTCAATAGCGCAAGCGGTGCAAAGGTGTCGACTTGTTTTTTACTACTTTTATGCTATGAATCGTCTGATTTATTAGAAAACTGATGTTCGTGAGATGCGCAACGAATCTGCGTGTTGGAAGACGAAAACGTTATGGCAATGCAGAACTGTACGTTTGTTGAGAAACACTGTTTTCTGTGTGGAGATAAATGAAGCACAACTATTACACGCGATGGAACGAGCGTACGTTACAACTATGCTTACTCAAGGTAAGAATGGACTGTGAATGTTAGAATCACACTTAATTTTTTGTATCGTACAATGCCGTAAAGCCCAAAAGAGAGTGTTTAAGAATGGTATTTAGTACGAAAGTGACTAAAGTATTGGTAACTGCTCAATGCGACACAAGGTCAACGGCCCCATGCTCCCGTGAGCCAAAAGAAGAAGCGCACCAGATCTGCCCATAAAACTTCGAAGGGGCTTGAAGTCTCAGGAACTAGTAAGACGCCGGCAATGGAGCGGAAAACCTACACTACCGCTGCTTTGACGTCGCTTGCGGAGAGAGGGACAGTCCCACCGCCGGTGGTTAAAACAGCTAGTATAAGTGTCGAATCCAAGGCATGTGGGGTAAACACTCCCCGTCATGGCGACACTTTCAAGGATAGTAGTGTTATATTCCGTAACGTTACTGAATCTGCGGCTGCTCTCGCAACGGAACGCATCTCGGATGACATCAAGTGGCTCAAACTGTGCTTCACCAAGCTGCTTCCACCTGGCTTCCCTGGTGTCACTGACCAGATTGGGGTACATCCCTATCGATACGCCAAATTCGTGACCCCGACTACTTCGCGTGGTCCTTTCTACCCCAGAGGAACGCAAATCATTACTGCGGTTTGCATTCAAAATTAAGGGTAGTGATGTCAGCGTTCAGCCGGACCTTCCACTGGCAGATAGACTGAAATTAAAGGAGGCTATCAAAGAACTCAAAACTAGACGGGCGGCTGGTGAGCAAGGCCTCCATCTGATGGATTTTCAGGTGGTCAGCCGGTAGTTAATTTCCGTCCTATCAGAACCCATCCTGATGGCGCACGACCCAGGGATGGTCGCGCCGACTTCCTTGAGGTAGTACTTTGAAACGTCGTAACCTAAGGAACAAGCTACACGAGTTGGGTCTACTTGCAGACAAATCTCGTCCCGACATACTTCCTTACACTGAAACCTGGTTGTCTCCGGATAACACGGACGGTGAGGTATGTTTACCTGGCTACGCGCTGCTTAGAACTGAACTCTCCGTTGGTCGCCAAGGCTGAGGAGTTGTGCTGTATGTGAGCTGTAAATTAGATGTGTTGTGGACCTGCACATTCCAGTCGACGGATCAGATTGTTGTAGCCTTAGCGGCTGTTTTGTGCACTTCCTCTACATTGTTTACAGTTGTAGTGCTACACAGAAGTCCTGGAAGTTCTTCCAGGGGGATACTTGACTTTATTCGCACTCAGTCGGCGAAGAAGTGTTTATTTCTAGGGGATTCCAACCTCCCGGAAGTCTGTTGGGCCGATCTTTCTTGTAATTCGGTGTCAGGAACATTCGGTGCAGACTTTCTTGAACTGACTCTCCAAGTGCCTTTGCACCAGTTCGTGGCCTTTTCCACTAGGTATATGGACAACCAAATACCATCTACTTTAGATCTGGTTTTCGCTAAGTCCCTCGACTTCGGGACTGACGTTTCATACGGTGCACCTCTAGGGTCCGGCGAGCAGGCATGCATATCCTTTCGGTGTTCACTTTCAAGACACCAACAGACCGCCGTTGAATTACTTCCGAATATTTGGCAGGTGGACATTAGTGCAATGCGAGTTAAGTCTTCAGTTCTGAACTGTGAGAGCTCGATGGCCGACTCTGTCTAGTTAGCCTGGCATAAATTTAAGGCATGCCTTACGGAAGTTTCCACTCCCCATATTCCATTCATCAGGAAAAGAGGGTTACGGGTACAGCCTCCATGGATAGATCCCACAAGCAAGTACCTACTAAAGAAACGGTCTAGAGGCTGGTGAACCTACCAAGCAGCTCCATCAGCCAGTACCTATGCTAGTTATAGAGAGATTAGAAATGAATGTATGTAACATCTCAGGCCTGCTCGTCTCCAGTACGAGTAGGATTTAGCGGACTCGGCCGCAGCTAATCCCAAGAAGCTTTTGCACATGTTAAAAGACGCAGCGGGGTTAAATTGTCTATACCAACGTTATTGTGAGCAGACGGGACCCGTGCGCAAACTGACTATGACAAGGCTTGTATACTTAGTGATCAGTATACGGGGGTCTTTGATCGGGAGACCTCTTTACCACGGGTTGAATTGGTTTCAAGAGTTCCAGATGATTCTTGCTTAGCTGAGTTTAACATAACGGAGACTCAGGTCTTCGAGCTACTGCAAGGCATTAACCTCTCTAAAGCTTCCGGTCCTAATTCAATTCATCCGAAGCTGTTGAATGAATTGGCCATTGAGCAGAGTGGTCTTCTCACATGCGTGTTTTCAATATCGCTTGGTAGCTGCGTCCTACCTTCGGAATGGAACGAGGCAATCATCTGTCCGATTTTTAAGGGCGGTGATAGCGCTCTGCCCGCGAACTACCGGCCAGTCAGTTTGGCAAGCGTAGTAGTTTAATTCTTTGAAAAGCTGATAAGGAATTCAGTGGAGAACCACCTAAATAGATTCAACCTTCTCAATGTTACGCAACATGGATTCCTCAAGGGATCTTCATGTCAGACTAATCTAATTGTAGTTCGTGAAAGCTGGGCTGAAGCGGTAGACAGAGGCCACGCGGTAGACGTGCTATTTGTTGATTTTTCGAAAGCTTTTGACACTGTTCCGCATCTTCGACTCTCACTAAAGTTAAGATCTCACGGGATATCTGGTCGCGCCCTTCAATGGGTGTCTGCTTTCCTTGAGGTGAGGAAACAGTGCGTACGAGTGGTGTGTAGCCTTTCGATCAAATAAGCTGTACTTAGTGGTGTCCAGCAGGGCTCGGTATCGGGGCCATTGTTGTTCGAGATCTATGTAAATGACTTGGCGGGAGAGCTAGGGATGTCATCACTAATGTTTGCTGACGACTTAAGCACTGGAATATTGTGGACATCCCGAGGGGTCCTGAAGGAATACAGCGTGCCTTGAATAGGCTCTGGAAATGGTCTATCTTATGGTTGATGCTCATAAATAGGGCGAAGTGCTCTGTTCTCCGAATCGGAGCTGCTACTCCTCCCACCCCATATGTTGTCCGCGGTAGTAAACTCCTTTTTCTCACTCATCAGGTTGATTTAGGGGTCGTACACTCATCAGCACTTCATTCTGGCGACAACTGGAAGAAGGCTAATTGTCGGGGGTTCCGTATGATGTGGTTTATCCGCCGGTCTTTCGGAATCATAACGGCCAATTTGTTTGTGAAGCTATTCTCGGCATTCATCCGACCCAACCTGGAATATTGTACCCAGGCTTGTCCACCATGTCTTAACCGAGACAAAATGGACTTGGAGAGGGTGGTATGAGTGGACACTTGGTTAGTGCAGGGTCTATGGGGACAGACGTATCCTGAACGCTTGCTCAGTTTGGGTATGTACTCAATGCACTACCGAAGAATAAGAGGGGACCTTATTCTCACTTATCGTATTTTGACGGGTAAGATCGGCCCTGACTTGGTAGGGCTATTTAGTCTCGCTACGTTACCTAATCTCCGCGGTCACATACTGAAACTGTATGAACCACGGTCTGATAAGATTAGGACGAAAACTCGTCTGTCGCGCCGAGTTATAGATCGCTGGAATTCGCTTCCACATCAAGTGGTTAGGGAACCTATGGTTAAGTGTTTTGCGCGACAGCTCGATGCTCTTGGGCCGCAATACCAAACCTTTCCTTTTTTCTAACTGACTCACCTTCACTTTTCAGTTCTTCTTTAATGACTTAGATATCTTGGGTTTCTACTTGCTTAGCTCTTTACACTTTCTCCTTTTGCCTTTTGAGTTCACTTTTTTCTCTTTCTTACTTCACGTAACCGGCCCAGCAGGGACTGCTAGGGCAAGATATGCGGGCACTAATAGGTTGGACAGGATGGGATGCGGTCTTTGTTTTAAATCTATCCGTATTTCAAAATCCTCCAAGTCCTGGCTCAAAGACCCACTGAAGAGAGAACACTCACGGGATAATCCTATGGTTCCAGTCCCGCTTGAGCTTGAATCCATTAAGACATTGGCGAGCAGACTTTTTCCTCACTAAGAAGAACAGAGACCATCGGCGCCTGGTTTACACACGTTGGAAGGACAATTAATACTGACACCGCAACCGGCTATGAGAATTTCCCAATGAACACAAGTAACGTCAAGTGAACTTGACCGATGTATGCGAAGTAAATGAGCAGTATAACAAAACATTGTAATGCAAAGGTGTGATGGATAGAAAAAAGTAGTCGGGATAATGTCACGATAGATTAGTTAAACAGTCGTATTGTTTCGGCGTCTTCGAGTACTGTATGTTATGGCTCGGGTAAAATCGAACCAATTTCTTTGCTCACAAACTTTCTAAAAAATCATGTAACTTGAAGAGGAGTGAACTTACACGCATGCTTGTGTTGTGCGTATTCGGACTGCGCTTGCAACATCTAACAGGCGGTTCTTTACTTCGCGTTTGAGCAGTTCATAAAGGCTTGAACGTAGAGTAAGGGAATGGAAATGAATAATAAAGAGGGAGAGGTGTTCATATTTTGAGTTTTGTGGTGGCGATGTCATTTTAATAAGACCAAGACAACTGGACACGCAGCAGTCTAGCTAAAGTTAATTAGATTTAGTGTATCGTAATTTAGAAGGGTCCAGCAAGTGTATGTTGTGAAATACATCGTGTTCATACTTTAGTTCCGGCAACACATCACTTCCGACGACTCAAAGCGACTAGGGAGGAAGCCAACTTCAAAAATAACACGAAGATGCACCCATGAACTAAATACTTTCAGCGTCTATCTACTTGCCAGCACAAGTTAGGTGGAAAAATTCCGATCAAAAGGGGAAGAGACTGAAAAGAATTTTAACAAAAGAGGTAGATGATTGTTAGTGGTAAAAGCTCAACGCATCAAAGCAAAATCCAAGCAGGCAGCCAGCGCACTTCCAGAATGCACCGAACAGAGCCTGAATGCAATGAATTCCATTTATACCCTTTGAATCCTCGGCTGCTTCCGTTCAAGCAGTGTGCAACCCGGACTGAGTATAATGGCATATTTTACTTTGCTCTTGAAATTTGAGAAGACGCTACTCGGTGGAGGGCTAATCTGCCGTCTGCACAGCGGCTATGTGTATGTTGATGTAGTGCGAGCGGCGTCATATCACATTTGTTTACTTGGTGATGGTGGGCTTTACCGTCTCCCATAGCCTAGTGATCTCATCCATGGATTCGTAAGAGTAGGGTTGTGAGTCTTAACTTCACAGAGGTCAGATGGGATGCGCAATGCTGACGATTCTCAGAACGGTAGTCCAGTTCTTTCTCAGCCTTGTGATGACTGTTCGAATGAGTTTAGATATGGTAAATTCAGCATAAACTTGAAGCTACCAACACGTCTATGCTTTTACCCTTGATTGTAAGTTGAGAGCATCTCGTGAAGGGCTATTTCGTTGTTCCCTGATTTCACTGTTTACAACCTGTCCATGTGTGGATCTGAAAGGAACCAAGGTGCTTCACATTGCTTATAACAGTTTCCTTATTGTGATCTTGAGTTGCCTAAAGGGCTACCATGTGTAAGCACCTTAGTGCTGTATAATTGAGGTTTATATATATATATATATATATATATATATATATATATATATATATATATATATATATATATATATATATATATACAAGGTGTGCCCCATGCTGAGGCTGATGTTGTATTCATGATGCCTCTTCACCGCAGTTGGGCTAAACCAACACACTTAAACTAGGTCTTTTTAAGCTGGATAAATTTCATTCCACTTTATTTGGTTTGTTCTGCCTACCTGAATACTCTTCTAGTAACTGGGCACGTTGCTTATGCTAATTGCGCTTATCTTTGATAACTTATTGCGTTTGTAGCATTGTTAAGTAACTTGTGGATATTTTTTCCTTATCGCGGATTCGTTGCTATCCTACTTACTTCATATGCTAATTGAGCGAAGAGTTATGCCACCGTATCTGTATGCATTATTGGATTTGTTTTGTTTCATCTTGTCGTTATAGGTGATTGGCTGTTGCTTGATATCCCCGGTGTGGCTGCGCTTGATGTGCATGTTGACAAAGTGCCTACCTGTCTATTACCCACTACCTCGTCCATACTTGCTCCAGGAGACAGTTGGTCGTTGCTGGAGGGGACGGGGTGCACGGTCTTTGTGGCCGTATTAGGCTCAAACAGTGGTTCCATGCATTCAGTGTGGAGCGAACTACGGTCCAGCCACCGCCTTTTTGCGCTTGATTCCCCAAATACAGCGTGCTTGTGTTTGCCTGTGAAGGAGTGTGGGCCGGCTCCGTTGATGAAACATCGTTCCCATCGGCATGCCTCCCGGTCTTATCCCTTCGGATTTACACTGCATATAGGGTGTGGTTGGAACTGTGGTTGGTATAGCGCAAGCCAACCATGGTACCTTTGTAGGTGCAGGCGTCCTGTGGCTAGCCACAGTGACAGACAAATCCAAAACCGGATGCCGCCAAGCATATATAACAAGTAGTGATAGCCTACCTGATGAGTCCAGACAAGAACGAATCGCATCGTGGCGTGCTGATGAGAAAAGGAAACACCGGAATCCTCCAATTCGATAGCGGTCCCAGAGTTCAAAGTCAACCGAGACCACAATTGAGATTGCGTGCAGCAGTCCAAGATACACGGGGAAGCTCCAAAACTCGAAGTTTAATTACAGTAGAACCTAAATAAGTTGACCACCCAGGGGACTGGATCAAATAGTGTGTCAGCTGTACACCGTAACGGCGCTTTTCAGCCTTGCGACCACCACCAGTCGCACGAGGGCTAAGTATACCGTGAGGACGCCCATCCCTAAGCGGATTCGAACCCGCGCCGCAAGATTATGAGACAAGCTGGTTACCTCTAGGCTACAGGCCGACACTGGATCAAAGTGGTCAACATAAAGAGGCATCCAACATATGGAGGTCTTATACGAAAACGACGTACTTACTTTCTTGTTGTGAGGATGAATTTTATTTTCATATACACCATTGCCATATCTCTCCAACTACCCATACTTGTGCCGTTAGATGTTTAAAACCGTTAGCTTGCTAACGCCAAACTGTTCTGTCGTCTTTGTTTGGTTGCTGCTTTCCAGAAAAGGTTGCAGCCTAATTTTCCCCCTCAATGTCAACTCTTCAAGGTCTATCCTTTGGGCCATATGCTGCGTTATGTGTACTACAGTCCAATCTGCCATGGCGGCCACTTGCCTAAGATGACCACCTGTCTATGGCGACCAGCCAAGGGCGTTCCCAACGTTTTTTGTTATGTGTGATGTCCCTCTGCATGAACCTGTCCAAGGCGACCACTTTTGTCGGTCCTATTGAGTGGTCGCCTTGGACAGATTTGACTGTACTCGATCCCAAATTGTCCAAAGCACAGAGTGTATCCAAGGTTTAGGGTGCTAAGTACAGCACATTCATGGCATACGATAACAAACCTTAATTGTTTGCGCTCTCAGGTTAATGCGATAGTTCAAATGGGACGGGAACAATAGTAGAATTCTGCGAATTTTCTATTTTCAGGGCGTCGTTTACCTAGGATAGATTTGTGCGAATCCTATTGTTATTTAAGAATGTCAAATCGGCACGCGCGCGTCACACTACACTCAAACGTTCAATGCGCATGTGCTTTGCACTAGTTGTTCCCGCTGCGCCGGTCACGTGAAGTATAAACAAAATATCAAGATAATCTACGCATTTAAAATGGAGTGCTAAAATGTTTATGAAGGTTATAATAAAGGTTGATGTGAAAGTAAAGGTTTATAGTTGTAAACCAAGCGCATCCAGTGGATGCTCGAATTCCCTTATCGTGGGTACCAAGACAACGTCCTCGGACAAGGTATTCCAAGCGGATATTACCTGATAACCGGCTGTCGGCCCAAACCCGATCAGCTCGAGACTTGTGCACCTTCTTTGAACGACCACTGAGGTTTGCACATCTCGTTGAGTGGCAAAATGAGATCAATTCGGGCCAAGCTGACCAGTCAAGGTGCAATCCGTATGGGTCAGGAACCCCATACCTTCGATAGTGCGGCGAAAAACGCCGGATCTAAGCAGTCGCTTTGGATTGGATATGAGTCTTAACCGACACCCACTCTCACACACACACTCACAGGACTCGCTCACTGCCATCGTGTCTCGGAGTAAGCAAGGGGACAAGCTTGCACGCAATATTCCAGGTGAGGGTTTCGAATGATTAGCGAATTACCCACAGCATTCTGAATCCCCTGCAGGCTGCTTTAGTCCAGTTTTCACTGGACTTGAAATTCGACGACATGGTGGCCTTCAAGCCAACCTTCTCAGTTCCACGTAGTACCATGTTTCCTTCTAAAATATCACTCGCAAGTGGATCTCCATTCCCAATGCGTAAAGTGGAATGCTTTGAGAGCCTAACTGACCGTTGTCACGAAACACACCAGTCCCAGTGTAGACGACAAATAGCACGGAATAGGCGCTCAACGATTAGTGTGGACGCAAACGTCAATGTTGCCACTATGTGCCGAGTTCCAGTTCTAGGTCAGGTTATCTCTGCCTGACGAGTCCACGTCAGGACGAAGCCGGTCGGTCGTGGAGTGCAGTGATGGGAAACACCGAAACCCTCCACTGCGGATACCGTACCAGTGAGCGGAATGGCAGAGGCTGCCTTCAAAACCAACCGAGGCCACAAGTGAGATTGCGTGTCGCAATCCAAGACACAATGTGTACTCCAAACTTCAACATTCCGCGCAAGTGGCTACTGAACGAGCTTAAACAGGCAAGTGTAGAAACGGTTAACCGATGGTTAGGTAGACACTTAAAGTCCTGATTACAACCTGTGCACTGAATGGGCACATGTCCCAAAGAGTAGACGTGATGCGGTTTGTGTGAGAAGATTTCACACTAAAAGTGTCAAGGTTAATGTGTGGAGGGGGACCTTTAGGGGACACATAGTACGAAGTAAAAACCGATGTACGTGAACGCGGTGGGGCGGAATAAAAATGCACCCGCACATACACAGACAAGGAACGCCCTATATCGTCAAACGCCTGCAGGAATAATGGGTGAACAGAATTTCGCACATTGCAAAAAGCCCGTTACATACGCGTTATTATTTGAACCATTGCGTAGTAAACCTTCACATGGACAACTTATTGGGGTTAAATTAATGGTGACTGCCATGGTCTAAGTGGTTAATATATAACTTACAGAGGTGGCCAAATACAGATATCCGGTTCCTTAAGGTTCACATGGTGAACGTTCAAGGTATAGAAAAACCGTCAACTCATATAGGTGGTCAGGATATACAGGGGATCAACCTCGGAGATTCTACTGTCGTAACGATCAAAAACTGTCAGATAATGACAAACCATGAAGAGAAAGTCAGTGATAAGGGTGATACAGTAGGTGAAACGGTTATCGAAATAGTAGAATATATGGTGCATCCACCAGTTCGAGCCAAGCATTTCGAAAATCAAAACTAGCCTTCGGGTCTTTTCTAGAACTCGTCATGAAGGTGAAAGACCCATCCACCATGACCATCGAAATAAGGAATGCGTTGATACTGTCTAGGTGAACTTTGTCCCCTGGCTCTTATCTACCCACGGTTGGTTCGGAAAAAGTTGTCCAAGGATGACCGGCCTGTCTGTTATTTCCAACACCATATTAGGTAAGCGTGCAGCACCACCAGATATGCCGACAGCGATCGATTGGTAACTAAAGATCAGCTAGCTTCCATCTCATGTTACCAAGTTCAAATTCAATTGAGACTGGAACAGTAGGATAAATTCCCGTGGGTGTTTCTTCCGAGGCGTGTCTTCGATCCGGGGTATTGTTCGTCTGCGATAACTGGAATTTAGAAGACTCAGATCAGCACGCGCGAAGCACACCACGGTAAACCAATTAATACCCACGCGACCTGCATTGGCAGTCCCCGCCGCGCCGGTCACGTGAAATAAGAAACAAATTACGAAAGTAATAAAAGCGTTAAAAACCAAAAAATACTAGATGTAATAACGCAATAAGGCGAATAAGCTAAGATATGAAGGGGAAAGTTAGGAAGTGAAGGCCAACGAAGTCAAATCGATGTTCGAACTCATTCACCATCGGTGATAACACCACCTTCTCGGGCAGTGAATTTCAGGAATCCACCACTCTGCTTGATAAACGCATTAACCTAAAATGCACATGGTTTAAAAGTTTTCCAAAAAGAAATAGGGAATAAAACCGTGGTGATTAGTTCTGTCTCCATCCCATGGTCATAGCTGCACTCTACTTTGGCTAGCTCAAGGGCATTAACCGACGACCCTGAAAATTGTGCTGTTGAGGCCTACTACACCTATGTGCTGCCAGAGTTACTGCTGTAGTGGGTGCTGGTAGAATTTTGCTTCTAATTTGAAATTTCCGGTTCTGCCCGCTAATGAAGGCCCTGCTTATGAGAAACAGAGAACACTAGAATCAACTATTTGTACGGTTTCCTATTCCGAGTAACTTCCCACTGTGATTGCTGGAAGAAACAAAACAGCAACGAGGCTCTTTTCGGTGCGCTGATTCTCAGATTCAGTGAAGATTACTGTCTAAATAAAAACAGCTCCACCTTCTAGCCACCGCTGTTAACATGATCGACTACTTTTAGTATACCTGATTGTGATTCATACTTACGATTCTGGTAATTATGGAGGAAATGCTCAAGTGAGTCAGTTGTGCGTCACACCCAAGACGCTGTATGAACTGTATAGTTGAACGTATCGGGGATGTCCGAATGTCAATTAGAAGAGGAAATATGGCTCCCCCATTTAGCACCTGTATATATGGAGCAGTTGCAGTTAAAAGCATAGCCTGCGACACTCTGCGCGACACTGCAATCGCATGGACCAAGCAAACGTGAGTGCATAGAGGACCTCAAGAGCCTACGTGTTTTCGGATACTAACGTCTATGATGCACTGAGTTTGCAGTAGACTGATAGATGAATTACCACTAGCAGTACATGCGCCATATGCTTACCGATTGGCTACCACTTCTTTCGTTAGTCGCCAAATGCGCACCGACTGGGTGCATGTACTTAATTGATAAAGCCGTACAATGAAGTAACTCAGATGATTGGAACGCTCCGACTTGCGCAGTCCTTCTACATAGGAGCTCGGCCTTATAAGAGCGGTAGCTGATAGCAAAAGTACAGTGGCTAAGTGATCCTCTCGTTTTTTAAATAACAACGCAGTTAAGTCCCCCCTTTTAAGGTGATGTTCCGCTTAGCGCTTGCTTTGATTCTGGACAAGTTTTCATATCATTGGTCTCCAATACTTTTGCAGAAAGTGAATTATGAGTACTCGATCAGTCGTATTTCGATAGTACGACTAGATTTTGCCGATTGTAACGGTCGAAACATGGACTATTCGAAGGCAGTACGTGACCAACCACTTCCAAGGGAAAGTGAAAAGCCATACCTATAGGTTGAAGAGCACATTTATAAGCATTAAAAGTCTAGATGCCGAAATGTGATGCACGACGGAGGCTATATTGTTAACGATTAACTTGCAGCCCGTAGTAGAGGAGCAGCGGCCAGTTTCTATTAATTTTTCGGCTAGTGTTAGCCAATTTTTTCATATTTTAACCGACCACAGAGACATTTCAGTCGTGATCAGCTTACCTGTTCTGTACTTCTAGAAGATCTTTCGAATTTCTCTCCGAAGCTCGTAAAAAGCTGCTTATATTTTGGTTCAATAACTCAAGGTGCTCATTCAAATTTCTAGACAATGGAACTATCACACTTGAACCTTGGTCATGTTGGCAGTTCTCTTTCACCGCCTGAAAAGTTAGCACAAAAGAATTGATCAGGAAAGCCTACGTTGTCAGAGTTCTTCTGGCGCTCCAGTAGTCTTGGTGATCTTCGAGGAAGACAGTTTTCCTTCCTTTTACTCTCGATTTGTAAGATCAGTTTAGGGTCCAATCCTAAAACAAGTTTCTTCAGATGTTCTCGGCATTTCTGCAAATCCACATCTTTTAGTTGTGGCTTTTCTGAAAAACACATCAGTCGGGTTACAGACGAAGGGGCTTCCAGTTACCAATGAAAGCAAAGCCATCTTGGTAGGTCGACGTAAAATTATCTAGCAAGTAAGTCCATAAAAACAAGATAATTAGACCCGAAGTGTAAAAGGCCAAGCTTATTGTTTTAGCTTCGGTAGACCGAAGGTACACAGAGGGGACACGCGTCGTAAACCATCAAGATAAGTACTGCCAGCACCATGATCGTGACCGCCAGTAGCCCTATGAATAGCACCAAAAGATGTTTGTGACCGATGAAATGATTGTAGAATGCAGCTAAGAGAATACCCGACAACAAAAGTCATAAAGACTTAGAAAAACTGTTCAGTCATAGACAGGCGCTTTCACAGTTATGCATCGTTGCGACTGGGAGAATGGAAACAACTCATGGCAAGTGTTTTCACTTATAAAACCACGAAGCAGACGTATGGTAAACAGGGAGTACTGATAGTCTGTTGAAGCAATGCAAATACAGTCAAGCGTGTGCTTCAGTTCAGACCGACAAGCTGAGTGAGGAATTTTGTTGTGGCTATTAGACCAGTCAGATTTATTGGACAATGGGTCTGCAGAAAGAAAGCCGATTGGGCACTAAATACACCTCTGCTGATGAGTTTGTAGTGACCTGGAGAGTTCCCCGCATGATATCCAGAGTAGTACCGAATTATAGCATCCGTTTATACCTAGGTAACAGGCAGTTTGTCTGTCGTCTGCTTTCCACTGGTTTATATATACACATCCGGAACGCTACCTGAGCACTGCCTTCTTTCGTTCCCGGAATTTTCTTCATTCCCTCTCCACAGCAAGCCATTCCGTGGGTGCCGATTAGCTTAACGAGCTTGCACAGGGAGGGATGAGAGAGAGCCACACCGAAACCCTCCAGCTTGCACATTTGTTTTTTTTAACTTTTCAATACGGTAAACTAGTTTTGCGAATGTAGTGTTCGTCTATTGATTGCGCCGTAAGTTGATTAGTTGACGCTGCTTACTTAGTGACCATCGTTTCTACGTAGTGTGAACGGATATGGTGTCGTGGAGTGGATTAGATTGACATCAGCAGTAATGCAAGATAAGTAGATGTGGGCCATTCATTGAAAGTAAGATGACAGCGTGAAGCGGGAAACAAGCACGAGTTGGTGAAAACCACTAACAAAGACACAGTGATTAGTTTCCGTACGGTATAAGTAATCATTCAGTCCACGAGTAACAGACCACTGCTTAACGACCGCATATTATTCAAGCTCTAGGAGAGTTACACGGTATACAACGGTCTGTGGTACGTTATTCCCCAAATCAGAAAAGGGACAACAGGGTCCTGTCTTCCGTGTATAATTTTGCATAATATAACTAACAACCGTTGTCTTCGTTAATTTGAACCGATTCAAAAGTGCACAGCCTTGCTGTGCAAATATGAATCACGACATGTGTTCAGAGCCGCAGCCACAGAAATCGATGGGTGCTATTTATCAATTAGTCGACTGCGACGAAAATACTATAAATGAGTAAAGCCATTACGAATCATTAATCTGAATTAGGACGTGCTAAGCACTAATGACAAGGCTGCGTAAAACTCAACGGCCCAGACAGCCCGAGAACGATGCGTCACGCATGCACGGTCACGTCTTTTAAGACAGTTCTTGTCTGGTGTCATAGACAGCACAACAAATCACAGACAAGCCACGATTTTCAGTTATGGAAAACAGTCACTACCGCTATTCTTTTGCAAAAACAGTCCAGTTAACAGAGTGGGGGAACCTATTAAACAATTTGTTCATGCTTCAGCTTCTTGACTTATTGGATTCTTTTAAGCTCTGGGGGCCTGTAGTATCACATAGTATTTTCGCGGCACAAGACAAGTACGCTGGATAAGTATCTATCATTATCATCATCATTACACGTATCTATCAAACTTACCCCATTATGGTGAATCTGATAAAGATCCAAGTAAACCAGCAAATATTGACTGACAAGCTCGCAAGATAACTATTTCATCATAAACACTGGAAATAAGCAACTCCATTACTACAAGGTCGCGAGGTCCAAAAAGTTAAGTAAACGGAACTACAGCCCCGCTCCAGTTTAACGATCAAAATCCTTTCCTGTGAAACACATATCAACGGTTTGTAAAAGCCGTAGTGTTAGAGTGTCAGGCACTTTGAAAACGCAACTGTAAATGCGCATACATTCGAAGATGCAGAGTATTGAAGTGATTGAAATGTTCGCTAGGAAGTGATAGATTTGGCTATGGCAAGAGTAAATCGTAACTGGAGCAAAGTGACGTGTCACTGTGTTGGTTGCACACTTTCATGTCTGTTTGTTATCCAGGGTCAAAGTTTGACCAAAAGGCGCCTGTCCACAACCGAGTAATCAGCCTCTCCGAAAGTGGTAACGCTACGCATGATCAGCTCTAAAAGCGCGTTCTTGCTTTAACTAATCTCAAAGAATGTCTCGTTGGGTGCGAATCGAAGCTGATCCATTTTTGAGTGTACTGTAAGTCCGGCAAAAAAATTAAATAAAATAATGTGTCAGTTTTCAAGTTCAAGTTCAAGTGGGACCAGAACAGTAGGATAAATCCCCGTGAATGTTCCTTCCGTGACGCGTCGTTGATCCAGGGTATTATTCGTCCGCGATAACTGGAGTCCAGAAGAGTCAGATCAGCGCGCGCGAATCACACCACGGTCAACCAATTAATACCCACGCGACCTGCACTGGCAGTCCCCGCCGCACCGGTCACGTGAAATAAGAAAGAGAAGTACGAAAGTAATAAGAGCCTCAAGAAAAAAGATTTAATAATTCAATAAAACGAGTAAACTAGGACGTGAAGGGGAATGTTAAGAATTGAAGGCCAAGAGCGTCGAGTCGGTGTTCGAACTCTTTCACTGTTGGTGCCAATACCACGTT